AGCGATGTGCTCACCTCAACTCCGATGGCTTCGATAATTTTGACGAAGAAAACGATTTGGTAAGTGTTTTTATTATCGCTGCTCTTTTCCTCCCTTCCTTTCATTTTTGAAATGGTGAGCAATCAACAGAGCATTGAGCTCGTTCATGTGCGCATGCGCAATGTGTCGTTTCTTCGATTTGCGCTCGCGTTGGGTCCGTGTTTGAGATTTTTCGTTACATGTCTGAATTTTGATTTTTTTTTTCAATGTGAAATTAAAGATGTAGTCCTACGTAAAAAAAAACAGTTTGAAGCAATAAGCAGTTTAAGTCAAACTGGCACTCTGCGGCGAACAAAGTGGAAGAGGTAGCTGTACAGAATCTGATGACAGGAGTTGAACGAAAGGCCCAGCAATTCGAATTCGGTCAACCGGAAGTTTAGCTGTTTTGATAAAAAAAAATCAATCAAGTTAAATTGTTTGACCAAATTTTTATCGTAACACTTCATGAGATTTAATGGCCCATATTTTGTAAAATTTATGTAATGTTTGAAAATTTGTGCGATGATTTCAATTTCGGAGATACCGCAACATGCATCCGATCTCCAACACAATGGCGCACGAGATTCAGAACCGCACATCTTGAAGGCAGATGTTCCGCCTTGAAATCGCTGTTGTGCATTAGGAAAATCAAACCTATCAGTTTTCACTTATTTCTATCGATAATATGCTTAGTTGTATATTAAACTCAGTCAGATGAATTAGCAATTCGCCCCAATCATATTATTCATAATAGCACTCCTCCATAATCACACATCGCATTTCACGCATTTACCGCATTTTATACATCTTTTTTTTTGTAATACCTCATAACAGTGACCGATTAAGTGCACGTCAACCTGATTTTGATTTTATTTTTCTCTTCTCTGCTTGAATGATAATCCCTTCACATTCGAATAATCCGTACACAATTTGACTCGTTGAGCATAGTGAATGGGTAAGCGCAACCCTGCAGATTGCATTCGTGATGATGAGATTTGTTATTTATTTTTTTGTTCTTTTCATGTAGGATTCCAACATTCTGAATCGAAAATGTCTGTTGATTCACAAATTGTTTGTCAGCTGCAGCTGTATCTAACTTGAAAAAAAAACTTTTTCTGAACTCGAAATCAAACAAAGTGTGATTGAAGATAATCCTTCAAAGCTCCCAGGTGCGGTTTTCATTTAAGAACGCAGTTGCATAGTTATATTACACACAGATGACTGGATGAATAGATCTATGTCTATGTTTTTTGAAATAGATATTTACTGTTATATGATGTTGATCTCATTCACCTTTTCCGCATTTGAAGACATATATCTAGCTATATATTTTCAGAACCGTACGTTGACATAATCTATTCAGCACCATTGGTGCAAATAAACGGCGTTTTGCGAAAAATTAAATCGTGACTCTTTGATTGATTATTATATTAATAGATTCTTGAACGTAGAGGAAGAAGCATGACGAATCAGTTTTTGATGAAAGAGTTAGGAGAATCAACTTTTAATTTGAGTACCCTCCACTCTCCCCCATACCAAAAAGCTCCATTTTGAGCCCCCTGGTAGTGGACACTCAAAAAATCAGCGATAGGCAACATCATAAATGCAAAACACTACACATAAAATGGCTGAGCATATTTTAATTTACAATTCTACAATAAGGAGATACTATTACGAACAAAACAATTTATGCGCTTCTAGTGGATAAAGTATCCTTTTAAATAAGCGCATGTATTTAACACATTACAAAATTAATATTTACATTATACTAAGGAAAGATGGACAAATAATTAATACTTAAATGTTTGATGACGGTTAAAATATAATAAATAAAAGAAAGAACATATAATTAAGCTTTAATTAATAGTTGTGGTATTTGCGATCGTAAATAACTTTTAATGTTAGATTTAAATGATGAACGATTTGTTAGCATCTGTATATCTCTGGGTAGGTTGTTAAATTTGGCTGGACCTATAAAAGTAAACCGTTTCTGACCAAAGTTTGTATACGCACGAGATCGAGAGAGATGATTAATTTGCCTGGTGTTGTGTAATCGTGGCGTCACATTTAAAGTTAAATTGTGGATACTTGCTGGATTATGTTGCATATTATGAATCAAGGGCAATGTTTGTTCTTCACACATGCCTTGTATAGGCAATACTTTATGTGGAAAATCTGTGTAAAACCGGACAGATGGAAACAGGAAAGGTAGGTTATATATTATTTTAATACATCGATTTTGTAATACTTGCTCTGCCCCATACAATTTTAAAATAGTTCAGCTGTGAGTGAATGTGAGCGTAGTAGAACATAAGCAGAACTTTTCGAGGAATGAAACAACTAACCCTTTTCAAAACTCCACACCTGGATGAAACTTTTCTCGCTACTTCCTTGATATGCAGATCCCAAAACAATGTACAATGCAAGCTGAATACCTAGATATTTAAATGACTCTACCTTCTGTATGACGTTAACATCCATTACTAAATTAGGAACAATTGGAAGGATGTTTCTTGGTGGTCGGAAGATCATGTGTTGGTAACAGCCGAAATGAATCAAATTCTATAAACTTTATTCACCAACCAATGTGTTTCAGCGAATGAAAGTTATAAAATTCCTGTGGAATACTCAATTAAGTTAGGCTAATCTAGGATAATTTTCATGTAATGCTTACATTTAGTGATTCTCGCTGTATGGCAATATAATTGCTTGAGAGATCCAACAGCTCTCGTAGGTTTAGGAAATCTGTAGGTTTAAGTTTAGTTTACTAATGTGTGCCTTGGCTCTAGATATAAAGTCTCACCTATCAACGGTAACAGAACAGCCGAATTTGCTGGTAGTTATAAGTAATCGTTTAGCCGTAGGTACCTATTTAGATGTTTGTGTTTAGGATCATGTTTTAGGTTTAAATTCTTTTTACCTCACCTTTTTCCGGGCCACATATAACTTATTCAGAAGGCAAGTAGAAGTTCTAGTGGTTCATCGATACCTTAATAATAGCACATAATAGGTTAAGAATCTTCCTGTCATACTATTTCATATTCTCACCTCTAGATTAAGAATCAATAATTTGCAACTAATATTTAGCACTCAAGTTCACTAGGTTTAGTTCACTAGGTTTAAGCAGTAGATTTAATGTATTTATATAATAAGTATATATATAAGTAGTTTTAATTTTCGCAATTGGCAGGGCAATTTCATTTTTGTTTTGTCTTCTTTCCATAGATTTGATTTGTTTACATCCTGACCACTTTTTCCTCTCACCGCGTGACAATCCCTCGTATAGCGATGGGTTTGGTTGCAGTCACTCGTCAGTGGCGTAGATCAGCGGTGGGAGTACACACATCTGGAGCGGGCGTAACCAACATCATGTATTTACTTTTTTGTAAATTTAGTGAGAGCAGATTATCGCAAAAATATTCCTGGAGAATTTGTAAGTCTTCATTCATGCTTGAAATTATCGCTTTTGGATCGACATTCGGATAAAATAAGGCTGTGTAATCTGCAAACAACCTCGGAATACCAGCAAGGCAAGTTTGCGATAATTTGGCAGTTTTGTTTGTTTTGTTTTGTTAGAGAAATTTTTAGCCTTGGGCTGGTTTATCTCTTCATTTGGCAGTTAACGCGTGTATGATCTGTCAAATTTACATCAACGCATCGCAAACGGCCCATCACTATAATACCTGTTTTCTCTCGAGTTTTTCAGCCTAAAGACCCACGCAAATTGTTAGTGATTCGTTTCGGCGAACATTCCTGCACTTAACCTTTCTTTTTCGAACGGATATAAATCCAAAAATGGAGTAATTCTACTATAGATGACTATCAAATTTATTTATATTTCTTTACGTTCCGTTGCATTTGATAAAGAGTCAGAAATTGTTGAGCTATTGATAGAAATCTAACACTGCTTCTTGTTTACAAATTAGTTCAACGAGTTTCAATTCTGTCCTTACTCATTGAAACGCCATTGGTTTTTTAGGTTTTTTCTTATTTGTACGCACTTTTTTCCTTGAATTGATTTCCGTCGATTTTGTTTTCCGTGCTGAGCACCAATGCTACCGACGCCAGGGAGGCATGAACTCATGCACCGGGGACCAACGGCTTACTTCCCTTCCGAAGGAAGGCGTGATCAGAGATGTTATGCCTCAGAACATCCCGGCGGCGCCGACTGGGATTGAATCCAGGCCTGCTGGGGTGAGAGGTTATCACGCTTACCACTACACCAACGGCGCCGCTATCGTTCTACGCATGAAGGCAGAAAAAATCATTTGCCAAGAGCGCTTCTTTTGTTTTTAGAACAATGAGTATAAATATTCATACAACACACTCGTATAGGCTTCGGCTTTTGTAGATTATGAGCTAACGCATAAAAACAAACGTTTTAAGGACCATGCAGGTGTTACGTAAGATTTTAAAAATAAATTTTCTTACGTTTTCTTACAGGTCAAAAATACTCTACGAAATCATGAAATCATGTTAATGTTCAATGTTAGATCTTACTTAGAGGGAGCAGGGATAGAAAAATGCTAAGTGCATCGTCTCTTATTGATTTATGAATGGTTAAATCATTGATATTATTGATGTCGTCTGTTTGATGGAAAGGAAATGGGCCATTACGACGAATTAGTGCAATACCTACTAGTTCTAATGAGAAACCAGTATCAATCTTAAGATCTAACACATTCAAACAACTGGCTTTTGCCATTATTTGGAGCTCTACTATGCCCTGTGGCGAGCTATGCGTGTCAGTTGGTGTAGGGAACTGGGTGTTATACGCTATTATTAATCACTTTCGCCTAATATTTGATCGAAGGGGTCTGCTGTATTAATATGTTTTCTGAGCTTTACGTTTTAGCATTAAAAAGACAAATACGCTGGAAACTTTACCTTAAACGCATTTTTTTTTGTTCGAAATTAAACAATACTACTCACATATTGCATAATAATTATGCTTTTTTGTTTTGCTAGAAAAACCATCTTACCTGTATAACGGCTTTCCGGCACTCTCTCGAAACCACAGAACCATATAGACACGATCGTTGGCTTCGTCCGGTGTGATGTCACAGGGCAGCGACGTCGTCCGACCAAGCACAGCTTCCACCGTCGTCGTCGACACTGTAAGTGACAGAGAGAAAGGACAAAGTCAGGTCTCCAATGCTACCATTTTGGGAAGGATGAGATGGGGAGCAAATTCACTCAAATGACTGATCCTCGGAGACTACCTTTCAAGTTAGGGAGGGGAGAACAGTGCATAGTGCTCCCTTGAGGAAAAATGGCCACTTGCCATTTTTCGTTGCTTTTCCATTACTTATTCTGGGATTTTATGTGCCGAAATGCTAGATTGAGCAGTGCTGAGTTTTGTCATTGTCATTGACACCGTCACAGTAAGAATTGATTCTCAAAAAAAACCTCCGTCAACATCCCATTCATTTTTGTCAATGAAAAAGATTTCGTGAATTCTGTGTCACATTATTACAGTTTAAGACGTTGATGCATATATTCACTTTAACGGCTCCATGGAATTGTTTTATTGATTAATTTAAATCCGATAAAAAATCAGGTTACTACAAAAACTGCACATGTTCGTCGTTGAAGATGACTTTTAGCTCGAATGAGTGACCACAGCTGTTTTGTCAATAGTGTCGGTTAGATCAAAATTTTGCAGCACTGAGCTTGAGTACTTAACTAGCAATGCTACACGCTAAACTCACGAATTGATAATGGGAAAGCTATGAAAAACTGCGTGGGATAATTTTTCACCAGGGGTGCGCTTTTGCCTGTACTACCCTACATCGAATACACTGGCTGTGTCACACGGAAAAAGTGGAACAACGCTTGCTACAAACCTAACCACCGACGAGAGAAAAAAAGCAGGAATTCCTCAGACACGACAATCAATAACCTCTTGATAGGGGATCGGAATTTGTGTGACAAATGATGCTGAAGACAAATGGGAAAATACTGCGGAAAATCAATAATGAATTCAGTTTTTGTATAGTGTAGCGTTGATAAATGTTTCAATAGGTAGGTCACAAGCGGAGATTGTTATGACGTTGATTGACATAACGATAGGTTCACGGAATGGTTGCTGTGCATTAATTTGTCTAATTGACCAAAACCGAACAAAACAAGGTGAAAGATTATGGCAAGTTTCTTGCAAAATACCGCTGTCAACGTTTCCTTCGTCGGAAGGGAATGGAAGGATTTTCGTTGGCACAAGGGTGGGTTCAATTATACAAATAACTTGTTATTGAATATTTTTTCCTCTTCGTTGCTTTCTGCCACCCATGATTTCAGATGCGCACTACTGCTTAGCTATGCTTAAATCCTGCTTGGCGACTGAGATTCATGTTCCTATTTCAATTAATATCTGGTTTCGATGGTAGCTGATACTAATTGCTATTCAATTGGAAAATCAAAATAAACGACTCATTAGTGGTCGGTTACAGTGACGAGAGAAATCGTTAGATCAATAATTAATTTATCCGTAATTGTTACCGACCTGGGAAATCTATCCAGTAGTGATTGAATATTTTGTCAGGTGCTGTGTCGTACGGAAATGGTTTGTTCTAGATATAATATCAGATGATAGGTTTATTGTGATTCGATGCTTACATAAATAATGTATACACCAAAAACTGGTCAGATACATTAAAGTTCCCGATTCAAACTTCACATAAACAACAGAGAAAGCAAAAACAAGTCAGAAACATTGAGCTTCAATTTTCATTCCGAGCTCACATAGCATTCGTGTTAATCACGCAGTAAAGTCTAAGACCACAGCTTACCATGATGCTTTTTTTTTTGTATTTCAGTTTTTGTTAATGTAGTTTAGTTTCGGATGATGCATCTTCCATCTGTTTAATTCACAATGGTTAAAATTAATATATGTTCAAGTATATTTGTTTTAATGTATGTATAAATATCAGCAGTATGTACAAACATAGGTACCAGCCGTGATTGATTTTCGTGGCAAATTAAGGTAAGGGGAGAGAGATTTGAATTTAAGTATGCTATGTTGAAGGTTATATATGTATGTAGTATATCTGAAATATATTGATATACAAAACTAATGCAAGCGTTCAATCATAATGACCATTTTTTAAAAGACAGTGATTCCAAATCACCCTGTGCAGTTGTTAGAAGAATTTTTGTGCATGGGGTTGTTTTCGGCATGGACTTTTATTTCATAGAATATTTGTGCAAGTTATCGAACGATAAGAACTGTAGAGTGATTACTAGGGGCTTGCAGATTGAAAAATTTCTCGACTTCCCTGGACTTTGAGTTTGCCACCCTTATGCAAAAATGATACAGGCTTCGAAAGCCCTCAATCAACAACTGTGGAAGTTATGTGCTCAAAGAACACTAAGTTGCGGAACGGCGTAAAGTTCAAGTAGGGACGTAATAAAATCAAACACGCATAGCGATTACTATCCTCTCTATTGTTCCAACATATTGTTGGACAGTTATAGAAACAGTATTGTTTTCCACACGGAATGGTCAACGATAGTGACAGGATTATATTTTTTTCAGATTAAGCTTGCCAAAATTTAAAGAAATTTTTAATATAAGTGGTGCAGCATCAGATACGTAGCCGTGAGGGGCTCTGACAGGTCAAAATACGTTTGGATGGTGTTTAAGCGATACTGATTTTTATTTTATAATAGATTTTTCTTTCAGAAAAACCATGTCTACGGTTAAGTCAACAGTAAGTAAATTTGTTTCTAGATTAGGAGTAAATATACACATAATGAAAAGGACATGTGTGCATGAAATTGATAAAAAGTTTTTTGATGATGATTAGGGTATAGATGACACAAACCACATACAAAAGAACAGCTCAATTAGTAGGAGAACAGCCGAGTAATTGCGGTGGGTGCATCATATATTGCTGATTGCATCTGACTGTCCCAAAAATGCAAAAAGTGTGATAAAAGTGCACGTTTCCGTCAAATCGTTTTGACGTTTTCGGAGCACTTATTGCTTGTATCATAAGGAATAAGTGCACCGAAGACACCAAGACGATTAGACGTAAACTTGCAGTTTTATCACACTTTTTAATAAGTGAAAACGCGCAATAAACTGTTTTTTGATACCTGTAACTCAGCCTGTGAGCATATTTTTTACGCATTCCATGCCATGTTCATCACAAACAAAACGGACAAGTATGAGAAATGGTGCAAGTGATGACATGGCTTGGGAATTGTGTGCTGATGATCTAGGTGTGGTAGAGCACCAATCAAACCAACCATTCATTTATTGCTTGGAGATCATATACCAGTGCACCCCAGATTACTGCAAAATGAGTAGTCTGGAGTGACTTCACCAGGCCTAACTTGTGACTAGTACAAGATAATCGAGTTTTCAAAATCACTACCAAACGTGCAGTAATTTTGCAACAGCAAAATTTTGTGAAAAAATTACATGCTGTGCACAAATTACGTAACGTTACAAATTACGTGGATGAGAAAAACATTAGAACCGAAAAAAAAATTGCCGTTAAATAAATCCACGTGACCCTTGTATCTATAACACAATAAAACCTTTCAGACTATTGATTATGATTTTTTATTCAATCTTGAAAAAATAGGGTGGGTATGAGTAAGATAGCGTAACGTTTTTTTTTCCTGGTAATTTTGAAAAGTTTATGCAAATAGCTAAGTTATTTTTTTTTATCCCAATGAACGGGGCTAGAAAAACAGTATGAACCTTTTTTTAAATCAAGATGCTTATAGTATAATAAATTAATAATAATAAAAATTTAGAATCAAGGGCAGCCCGTAAAAAAAAGAACCGTAGAGGTACAATGAAATGAATTGAAACCTTACATTAGAGTTTATTGTATTTACAATAAATCTTATTCTCCACAAAGATAAAATAACAATAGAATGTATTGTTTCCACAATAGAATCTATGGTAAATGGGGGAATATACAATAGAACAAGGGGGTTGTTATGTATCTTAACCATATGAAAAATCACTTTTTCCCGAACAAACTTGAGCCATTTACCATTAATTGTATTGTTGTACTATTGTTGAAAACTCTTACTAAATGGGACGTATTGTACATCTATTGTAATAACAATATGTTAAAATTTCGTGTACTATATACGCACAATAAGATCAATTGTTGGCAATAGATTTGCTTGTTATTGTATTTTATTTTATGGTAATTGTATGGTTATTTTTTTCCGGGAGGGCAAGTGACGATTTTGAATAAGGAAAAAAAATTAAATTTTCTAAATTGTGTTATATTTTAAGGGAACCCATAAATTTTTAAAAATAATGCATCAGCCTTATAGTAAGTTTAACACTCTTGAGCATGAGCAGTTCTACGCCAACACGCTAAGCAATGAACCAAGTTTGTATCGGAATTTGGTCATTTCGACTCTTGCATAATTTTAAAGTGTCGATTGTGTCCATTTAAGAATATATTGCATTTTTGATAAAACTTCAAGGAAACATAAGTTTTCTTCAATTTAAAAAATGTATTTTCTTTGTTATTGAAAAGGCAAACCAGTTTCATACAACTTTATCACAGACGTCATTTCGATTAGATGAGCCATTTCCGTGCTATAATTTATTGAAAAATATCGAATAAGCCATTTTGAAAAAAAACTACCAGGGTCAAAATAGTCAAATTCCAGCACAAACTTACTATACAAACTATACGAAAATATACATTCTGGAAAAACTTATGCTACAGTCCGCAGTAAGAACAAAGATGAATACTAAGATGAAACTGTCGGAAGAAAAACTTTCTATTTTAGTGTCCTCTTCACGGTCCCTTTCATCCAACGAATACCCCCCGTATGCAAGGTAATTTTGTGGTTTTGATACCACCTCGGTAGAGATGAAATTTTGCGCACTTTTTTATCAAAACAATCACATCCAAATCAGAGATGTCCCATTTTTAAATTACTTGATTAACAACTAATCGATTATTTTTTGTTCGCCGTGCTGCCATTTTTCCACCCATGAGAGTGCAGCATATGTTTGAAACGATCAGTGATGATCCTCTGGAGATGTTAATGCTTACATCGGCATGATATAACCGATTACAAATATTTTACTTTTCGGTTCGTTAATCGATTAATCGATTATTCGAATGAAA